CTTGAACTCACCACCGAAATTATTGACCAATTTACGATTTGACTTTTATTCGCTTGTGACCAGTCATTTGGGGTCATTAATAACGCTTCATGTTGGTGTAACGGAGTATGAGTGTAATATTTATTTAATTGTGCTACGATTAAAAATTTATGACTGGAACAAGCCAAGCAAGAAATAATGAATGTGATTGCTGCAAGTTTGAGGCAAGTAACAAGAGTAGTCATTAAATATATTGCTTATATAACTGTGTGTGTTTAAGTTCATATTTTTAATTGCAAGCAAAAATATTTATTGCTTGGTAAATTTATCTACATCTTTTGCAATTGTATTGTATTTCTTTTTATTTCGTTTTATCGACAGCAATGAACTTGAATGCGCATGCAAACGAGCATTGTGATAAACCAATGGCTGCAAGTGCTAATGAACTGTTTCTAAACTAAATTTTATACGCACACACACACAGATATAAATGTAGACACTGATAACTGTTGTTAGTTTTATTGAATGGAACTTTTAGTTCTGAGTAAAACAAATCGAGACAATTCGTTGATTTCATAAATTTCTGTGAGCAAGAGTAAAATTATTTTATACAAACTTACATATATACGTATTATATATGTATAAGTAATTATAATATAAACGCTATCGCTCCTAATCGTTTTTTATCAGTTTTTAACAGTATACTTGTATATAATTGCTTTATTTCTTGTCCAGTCGAATATATGCGTTTTTCTGCATATAACAGTCGGCTGAGTGGTAAATATTCGCTTTAGACAACATTTTTTTTCTGGCGGTTTATTTCAAGAAGAGAAAAGGCAATATAACTGGCAGCAATTAAATTGTAAAACATAATTGATTTTCACAAGAGCTCTAAAATTTTATTATCACAGATTACTGTCACTGAGTCAATTAAGGGAGTCACAAAGGCGATAAATAGCTATTTACTTCACAATAAAAATTAAAATTGAAAAACTATGGAAGGACTAAGTTTGAACGGAATCAAGCTTTAAATACTTTCGATAATTATAAAAACTTAAATGGTGTTCAATATATGCATATCTCATTGACTGTCAGGATTATCCACGCGGTGTTAGTCGAACGAAAATATATAATATTTATTTAGTGTTAAGGAAACACGTAATATCAGTATCGGGTTTTTCGGCTTAGGCTTAAAATACGAACTTAATGAGATTATATCTCTTTTATTGTTCGAGATAATCTTAATAAACTTAAGGGGAAGATTGCCAGGTATTCAAAAGCGGTTCAAAGCCGAACTAAAATGGTGGTAAAAGAAAGCCACAAAATTATACTCTAAAAAATATTATCATGTATGTAACATAAAACATTTCTCAAATAGTTTTTTGAAATCTAACAATCTTAGGGTTCATTTTGGTTATAGTATAAACCCGATGGTCTTTAGAATGATTCAACTGCTGTGGCCTTTGCTTGAATTCCAGCCTTGTAAATCGTGATGTAATGCGGTCAACATCATTTCGGAGAGTTTTGATGAACCAAACCTTCAACCAAGATAACAATCGCCGACATATACAGCTTATGAGATTAAAGTACAGTTATGAAACCTTGAATATACATATGTGTCTGTGTGTAGTATTGCCATAAATTAATCAAAATCTCAATCAAGCGACGCATACCTTAATCAGCATTTTATTTAAAAACAATTATTTTTTAACACAGTCATCACAAAAGTATACATATAGTTATGTATATTTGTATCGTTGAAAAATTTTTTCGAATTATTTCGATTTGATATTTCGTTTTAATGATATATTAAAAAAAAAAAATTAATTCATAAATTGCGGCAATCACCAGCGGTCAACGGCGCGCGATTGATTGTGTGGCCGCAAGCATTTGTCACACGCGTAAACGAGTGAAATGTGAAATAATTGTAAATATTGCACCGTTACCCGATCTTTTCACGCCGCAAATATGTTACGTATACCATGCCATTCCAGACAATTCAATTAATGTGCAACCAGCTGCTCTTTGTTCTGCAATTCGAATGTAGTTTTTATGCGTTCGTCGCTGCCACCGAGTTATACCGGCGCGTAAACGCTTGTTATTGACGATTTTAACGAGTTTGGCGATGGTGTTATATAATTAAGCTGCAACTACTTGTTGTGAGTGGGAATCGTTTTTTTCCTCGAATATTTTTGAGCTTTTATTCTTTGGCGCAATAAAAATGCAGCGAAAAGTCACACCAACATAATTATTTATAATTGATGCTGCATGCGAATTCGGAGAGATATATGTGAAATTGAAAAAAAAGGAAAAAAATAAAATAATTTATTGCGTTCTTCTTAAATGGAAATGAAGCAAAACATTAATGATGCGGCTGTATTAATTTGTCGATAAGCACTTTTTGTTGTTAATACATATGTACATGCTGTTTTGTATATGTGTGTTCATGAAATTTATTTATTACATTGTGTCTGCCTCTGAAGGGCAAGTTCAAATTGAATTAATAAGGTAATGTTTTTTCTTGTTGTACTTAATTATTATGTACTTTTGCTGAACATATATTTACTTATGAAAGTATCTTAATGTATATATACATATATATGTACATGTACCATATGTATTTATGAAATATAATAAATATAATCCATAAATAACCAGATTTAAAGTACACTGGAATGCTGGATTTTAAATCAAGCTATGTAAAAACAAGAACATATGTTATAATAATAATAATAATATAATAATAATAACCTAACGTTTACCCTTCTCCCGCCCAATCGACACTTCAAGCTGCAAAGGAAAAAAAAGAAAATAAAAAACTTCGGCTGCGTCAAAGCTACCTATAATACTCCTCTTAACTGCTTGTTTTATACCACTGACATATGTATATGTAAAACAAAATTCGAAAACGCAAGTGGTCAATGGTTTGCATCCAACGGAAAATATTTTGCTACCTCTTACTAGTCACGTTGTTCGATATCAGCAAATTCAGAGTCGCGTTAAGATTACTTAATAATGAAAAAGATCTTTTAAGAAGATCAAAGGATTAAGACGGTCAATTTGATGTGCATCTATGAGCTATAGTGATCTATTTTGAACAACTTCTTCGGAGATTGTAGCGCTACCTTGGATAATAATTCATGCCAAATTTCGTGAAGATATCTTGGCAAATAAAAAAATTTTTCTTTACAAGAACATGAGTTTCATGGCTAAGTTTGTATGGCAGCTATATGCTATAGTAGTTCGATATCGGCGATTCCGACAAAAAAGCATCCCGCTAATATGTTAAACTACTAAAGCCACATTAACCTTAAAATATTTTTGTTATCCCCTCTGACAATGCGAAAATAATTGAAATCGGATTATAACTTCCAATATAATAGGTGAATTCACATATCTTAGGACCTATTCTTATATGTATATGAATGAAGCAACAATAAATATATCGGGATAAAACTTTGAAATCAAAATTGGACTACAGCTGTTCAAGCTCCCAAATATCGAATTTAGCTCGTTGCCCGGTATGGCCGCCAGGTGGAAGCCTTTTGAATGGCCTCCACGTCTGCATAACGCTTTCCTTTCATCCGCAAATGCATTTTTCCGAACAGGCAGAAGTCGCACGGTGGCATATCAGGTGAATACGGGGAGTGGTTGATTGTTACAATGTGATTTTTGGTCAAATAATCGGCCACAAGCGTCGATCGATGAGACGGCGCATTATCGTGCAACAAACGTCAACTGTCTTCACTTGGGGCTTCGGCTCATTTCTCATTTATGTTCTCACGACCACTTTGAAAAAGTTGAAACCACTCGTGCACTCTGCTACGGGATAGGCAATCATCGTCATAAACTTCCACTTATGATAGATGAAATGTTATGAAATTTTTACTGGAAGTCGATAAAGGATAGCAGATCGGCTATCGCAGATGGCTCCACTAGAGTTTACTTTGTTACTTTTTTACTGTTTACTTTGGAACGCACCTTGTATGAGGATTTTAAACATCCGATTGATTTTACTCCTTATATATTGGTTATGGTATGCGAGGTACCATAATGAAGATCAGAGAGCACCTTTTTCTGTTAACAATATGTGGTAATGCCAAGGATAGATAAAATTTGCCATATCCTTAATATAAGATTCTCCAACTTCCGGTTTACTTTATATCGTATATATCGATCAATATATAACATATCTTAGTAAAATTAACTGAGCGTATAATACTGGGTATACTATTGTTTAACTCCTAAAATATGTGAAAGTGGTCTACGAATTACCTTGCCTTCCATGTACTACATACATACATCGTATAATGATTTCGTTATTCCAAATATTACGGTCAGTGTGTGAGTTATATATTTATTAAATTGCTTGAAAATATGTTCTCCAGCCTTTAACAAGTTAATGTAATAAGCCTAGACCATTTATACCTGGGTAATAAAACTAGGAGAGTTTATGATTTATAATACAATTTAATATAAATCAAATTTGATTGTAATCTCTTCACACTTTTGTCGAACAATGAATGTTGAATTCTTTCGCAATATTTATTAACATAAAGTTTTGCCTACATCTGAAGGTATTTCCCCGGTTTTGATCTTTGCAAGTTGCGAGAGTATAAAATGTTCGGTTACACTCGAACTTAGCCCTTCCTTATTTGTTAAATAATATTTTTTTTAATTTTTAAGGGCCTTAGAGACTTTGAAAATTATCAATCAGAGGATTGGCTCAGTATTTTGCATCAAAATGTCAATATACAAATCTTTTGTTTATAAAAAAAATTATATAGTATATATTACAAATTGTATGTCGTTGCTTTGGCTGATAATGGAACCGTAGTTCTTTAATTATAACTGAATTTGTTTATATTCTTTTCAAATAGTTAATATAATTAGAAAAAGACATATGATCTAATTAGTTATTTTACAATACTTTACAGTTATCTGAAGTTTCCGCCTAAATCAACAACTCAGATATAAGCAGAACAGACAAAATTATTTACCATGCACGAATTAAATATGAAATCTAAATATGAGAATATGAAAATCATATACAATCGCAGCAAATTCGGTTGGTATTGGGCACCGTTATTCATTGCTTTTTGGTTTCTGCTCTTCTACCTCACCGTTATACCAAGCTATCATAGCTACCCGGATCAGCTTAAAATCGAAGATGAAGCCACACATCCGGGTCGTTTTATTGGCGAGAGCGCGGAGAGTATGCTGCTGCGTCTCACGAAAATCGGTCCGAAAGTTGTGGGTAGTCCTCCAAACGAACAATCCGCAGTGCAATTTCTACTCACAGAAATACGTAAAATAGTGGGAGATTCGCGCACAGATCTCTATGATATAGAACATGAAGTACAGGTTACCTCTGGTAATTATGTCATTTGGAAGATGGTAAATGTTTATCAGAGCATACAGAATGTTGTGGTGAAATTGACGCCACGTGGCACGAATAGTACATCCAGTTTACTGATCAACAGTCATTATGACACGGTGCCGGGTAGTTCCGGTGCCGGTGATTCGGGTGCGATGATAGTCATTATGTTGGAGACTTTGCGTGTAATTTCGAAATATGAGACACCGTTACAGCATTCGATTGTATTTCTATTCAATGGCGCTGAGGAAAATCCGTTGCAAGGTTCACATGGGTTCATTACGCAACACAAATGGGCGCGTAATGTGAAGTGAGTACAAATGAAAATGAATAAAGTTAATAGTAAACTCAATGATGAAATGCAAAATTTATAGAGCTGTCATAAACTTGGATTCAGCAGGCTCTGGTGGTCGTGAAATTTTATTCCAGTCTGGTCCTGATCATCCGTGGTTAATGAAATATTACGGTAGTCACATAGAACATCCGTATGCTTCCACAATCGGCGAAGAATTGTTTCAATTTGGATTTGTACCCTCGGAGACTGACTTTAGAATATTTAGAGATTTTGGTAATATACCAGGTGAGTACAAGTGCCGAGATATGTCGTGAATAGATATTATACATAGATCATATATATTTAACAAATTAATTAGTGATAATGAAATGTTGTCTTGTCGAAATTCCTGTAGAGAGTGTTATGTTAAAATGTATATGTTTCTACGAGTACTCTTGATAAAATCTACTATCAATGAAGTCGGAAAAAAATACGTCCATTGTTCCTACCGGCAAAAAAGGCTATATCAGGCCAAAATATCATTGAAAAGCATTTGAAATCGAGATCCTTATTTCAGCTTTTACTTGTCGTAAGAGCCGTAAAAGACTAGACCTGAGAAGGGCATATAAAGCATCTCTTTTTTCTTGGTTTTTCGTACATGCTACATTCTTCCCATACATTTATGACGACTAAAGACACAGATTTCTTCAACTTAACGAGAAGGCGTTTAGTGTTCTTCTTTCTTACTTGATATAGATACGAATAGTTATACGTTAAGTAAGATTAAGTTAAAACGTCGAATTAAAAAAAAAAAACGGATCTGACATGGATAGCTGAGAATGCTGGTTCATTGCCTTAACCTTAATACTCCTAAGTATTGATCGAAAATACTCTCAAAAATCGACAAAGCGCTTTGAGTGTATTGTTGAGCCGGCTCATATCAATTCCGGCTATTTTTTCAGGTTGACTAAAGATATGACTAATAATTCATATGACACTAACTCTCTTGGTTTTTTCACATTTTACAGGTTTAGATATGGCTCACACTCTCAATGGTTATGTCTATCATACGAAATATGATCGCTTCAGCTTGATACCGCAAAAAACTTATCAGCTCACGGGCGACAATGTTTTGGCTTTGACTAAAGCATTATGTAATGCATACGAAATGGAAGATCCATCTGTAAGTTCGATAATATGTTTTAACTTTTTTCTATTTATTTAAATAAAATTATAGAAACATGCAGAGGGACACACAATCTTCTTCGATGTGCTTGGCTGGTTTATTGTATATTATTCGGAAACCACCGGCACTGTTGTAAATATTATTGTTTGTATCATTGCCATTATCACTATATTGGCCTATATCTGGAATATGGCACACCAGACGGGCATGTTTCGTCGGCGCGTCTTTATCAAATTCGGCATTTTATTGGGTATACAAGTCGCTGCTGTGCTCTTGGCGATTTTAGTAGCGATCACTGTTGCGATATTAATGGACTCTGTTGGATTATCGATGTCGTGGTTCGCACAACCGTGGATGATTTTCGGTTTATACTTTTGTCCGATGTTCTTTATGATGGGCTTGCTACCGGCGATTTATTTGAGTCGAACGAAAGAGGTGATTTTTGTGTGGTATAATAATCGAAATGTTATTTGATTAATACGTATATATTATTTTCCAGCACGGTCTACCCTTGGGCTATGCTATTCAGCTCATCATGCATGCCCACTGTCTGATATTAACGGTGGTTTGCATCCTTTTGATCTCTTTCGGCATACGCTCGGCATTTGCTTTAATGCTTTGTATCGCCTTCTATGTGTTATCGGTTATCCTGAATATGATCACTTGCTTTCACAAAACAAGTGAGATTTTCTTGTTACTATTGCTTGAGTTTCTTTTATATAATGATCTCTATTTCTTTCGTAGCTTTCCTCTGGCTCATACCGCACATCATCTGCCAACTGCTGCCCTTCCTCTTTTACAGTTACTGCTGTTATGCTTTCTATGTCATTTTTATACCGATGCAGGGTCGTGATGGCGCCAATAAAAATCCAGATATTCTTATCGCTGGCTTTACGGTGTTAATTTGTTTGCTTATGGCGCCATTCTTGGTAGGTTGAGCGCCGCAACGTTCCGATAAAGTTCCTATAATTAACTTAGTTTCAACTTATTTGCAGGTACCACTTTTATGTCTTTTCCGCAAATCAAAAACAATTATTTCCATCTTCGGTGGCATTTGTTTGGCTTTCATAATTCTAGCCGCCACCCCCGTAGGCTTTCCGTATAAGGAGCGGGAAGCGCCACAGCGCTTCTATGTCGCTGTAAGTCGCATAATAATAATTTAAGTAATATTATAGTTAAAAAAAATTAATTACTTCTCACAGCACACAATACGCACTTTCCACAATGCCGATCCTGCTATGTCCGTACGCTACAGCGATTCCGGCTACTATGTCGTGCCCGTTGATCGTCATCCACATTCTGTGGATTATATGTTCGAGAATATGAATACAACAGTAACCGATAAACCGGTGAATTGCGAAACTGAATTAATGTGCGGCTATCCAATCTACAGTTCGCGTTGGCTGGGCTGGCGGTATGCTTAACAATTTTCATTTAATATTTAAAAAGTTTGATTTTAATTTCATTTAAATTTTGTTTTTCAGCGACCAAAGCTTTTGGATTGATGGTCCTGCTCCGAAAACAGGTGGTTGGCCGAGATTACGAATTTTGCGCAAAGACCGCATCTCAAGTACGAATCTGATCATTAGCTTAGAAGTTGCGGGCCCTGATCATATGAGTATCTTTATAAATCCTATGAATGATACTAAATTGATTGATTGGTCATTGGATCGTACTCCAATTAAGGAGAATTTCGCAGCACCTTACTTTATATATTTGTCATATGCTTTGGATCCGGCGCCGTTCCGTTTTCATATGGAATTTGAGGTAGGTTAAAGGTCGGGAGGACTATCTCCAAATTACACACTTCCACATATTATATTGTCGAGAAAAATTGATACTAACTAACAAGACCTTTATTAAAAAAATGATTTAACTAATTTACATTGCTCCAAGCAGTAAAAAGGGATGAAATTCCTTAGGTACTGAATAAGCATACAAATCTTCAAATACAGGCTTTGATCTATACTACTAAACTTATTTTTCATTTTATTTTTATTTATCCAGCATAATAGTCCAGATTGGTCAGGCGCAACATTTGACATCGCCGTTATAGGCCATAAAACTCACCACGACATTTCAAATACAGATGAGTTTCGTGAGCTCGTCGCTAAGTTTCCAGCCTGGTCCACCGTAAGTGCTTGGACGAGCTCCTACGACAGTTGGCGAATCTAAGCAATAGGAACCAAACACTTCGCTTTACTTTGATTATGATCAAACCCTGAAATACTATTATTTACAGATGCCATAGCTTTAATTATAAACTAATGACTTTTTGAATAAATTTGTATATTATTTAAGGGAACGCAAACCAACGAAAAAAGTGCATGAGTTTACCTTCTGAGACATGAGTCTTTTCGAAGAAGTTTATAGCACCACGATATTTATTGAAATAAGCAAAACTATTTTAAAGACTTTTTTTTATTTAATTTTGTAAAAAAAATATTTATAGTCAGATATATAATTGTAATTATTAGTTCTTATATGATTTTTTGTATATCTTTTGAAATTAACATTATACAAAAATAAAGATATAAAAATATCCTAAAGTTATGTTAAAATTAAAATAATATAATTGTTTTACTTTATAATAAATTCGAAATTTAAAGAAAATACTAGAAAAAGCGACTCTCATACGAAGCTAACCAGTCTATCGGATAGGACCATTCGGGAAATAGCTTGAGGAACTCTTTTAATTCTTCAGTATAGTAAGCTTCGTGGTACATGAAGTGTGCACCGATCCCAAGACGCAGTGCGGCGCCCTCATAGTCTGGAGAACCGCGCTGAAAATAGAGAATATTGAGGAATAAGTATATTTGATTTAGGAGTTTGGAAGCTCCCTTAAATAAATTTGGTTCTTCATACAAGAGCAATGTTGTATTGACTATGATCCTAAATGTAGGCAAATATTTTACATTGTGTAATTTTTTTGGCTAACAAAATATTTTAGAAAGCTAAGAATTATGAAAAAACAAGATTTTGAAATTTTTCGAACTAAGAAAGTAAAAATAATTTATAAATTTAGCACTTACGTCCAATTCAATCCAGAAATCCAATGGCCTATCATCCATCGAATAAACGTGATACACAAAGTAAGGTGTCGAGAAATTGCTGTTCAATGAGGTCTTATCGAAAGTCCAATCAACAACTTTCGTATTTGGATAAGGATCTACATAGATCACTACGCGGTCTGCGGACTTTAAGCTGAAACCATAACGGACTCGTGTCTCAGTAATATACGTTTTTGAGGTTAATTTGAGTTCGGTTGATATAGGTAAATTTGGACTTGGCGCCACTGTCCAGCGTGAAGAGTTTCTAAAGAAATATTTTTAGTAAATTCAAATACGTATATTTGAAAATTTTTTTTTTAAACTTTTGTATGTACAAGTAACGGTATATACTTACTTCCAATCCATCCAACGGGAATTATATAATGGCAAACCGCAAAAAATTTCCGTCTCGCAATCTTCTTGAATCTTCGATTTTGGTTCAGCATTTTGAAAAATAGTTTTCTTCAAGGTTTCAATGCGCTTATCGACGGGCTGCACATAGAAACCGGTTTCATTTTTGTAAACAAAACCCCGTTCATCGTAGAATGTGCGAGTCGTGTGCTGTTTAGTATAAAATATAGTTTAGTTAAAATACTTGTAAGCTTTACGCTTTCTAAGTTTTGAAAATTATTTACTGAAGCGCTTACCAAAACGTAAACTCTCTGTACAGCGACATCCTTCTTATATGGAAAGCCGACGGGTAGGCAAGCAATCATAATGAATATCAAAAATAGAGCTCCAAATAGGCTTATAAAAGTTTTTGATTTGCGGAACTTATGCAATATTGGGAGCTGTATGTAGGGATGGATGAATTGTAAATTAATATATCATTTAATAAGTAATGAATTATGTTTGTTTAGGAAAATATCTAAATGAAGATTGTCAGATACACTGTCTGCATTTGCAAAATATTTTATTGGCGTAAGATTCTGAACTGGAAAAGTCTTAAGGACCAAGATCATGCCCACAACGGCTCTAAGTAAGAGCTGCCGCTACAACAATAACAAAGGACTAAGATTCTGGACTATATTTTTCCTATATTGATTTCAACACTAAGACACTGTTTGACCATATTCTGTGCTTTAAAATAGGTGACTAATTTAGTATAATGTCTAGACTAGAATTTAACAGTGGTTGTTACTTGGTGGATTGACAAATATATTATATAGATATATTGCAAAGTTATGAGTTTATTTATATCAAGCGAAACTACTCATAAAATTCATGACGGCCCTGTTCCGAAAACGAGTGGTTGGCCGAGAATTCGAATTTTGCGCATAGATCGCATTTAAAATACGAACCTGATCATTAGCTTAGAAGTTGCGGATCCCGATCACCTGAGTATCTTTACAAATATTATGAATGATGCCATTGATGATTGGTCAATGGATTGTTCGCCAATCAAAGAAAATTTCGAGGCACCATATTTTATACCCTTGTCATATGCTTTCGGCACCTTCCGTTTTCATATGAAATTTGAGATAAGTAAAGGGTCGAGAGATTGTTCCTTAATTTATATATATATATATATGTTGCAAAGTTATGCGTTTATTTCGAGAGAAACTTTTTATAAAATTCTTAAAAAAATTGTTTCCAAAATTTTAAGAGTTCTCTTAATTGAACTAATGTCAGTGGAATGTCGACTGACTCTATTCTCTAAATTAAGCCCTAATCATGGCAGATAAATCACGTAAATTATTATTGGGTCATTAGTAAATAAGTTTACTTCAACCATTTTTGAGGCATAGTTTAAAAATTTAATTCCACTATAATTTAAGAATCGGTTTTCTCGACAATCAAACCATGTAATGAGGAAGTTGAAAAATTATCGGTTTTTCTGTTTTGACAAACCTGATATCTAAAATAAATTCTACTTACAATGAAACCGCCGAAATGTATGCTCATTATAGCACAAAGAGCAGCAATCATAAATTCCGGTTTACTTGTTGGTCCACTGCGTCCTTGCATCGGTATAAATGTTTTGAGGAATACAAATGTTAGGTAAGTATAAAACCAAAAAGGCAACAGCTGGCAGAGAAGATGTATAGGCAAGTACAAGTATTCTGAAAATAAAGCAGAGAAGATAAAAATTATACAATACTAAATTATTAGTTTTAAAACTTACTTCTGCCCCACAAGTGATTTATGATATTCAACACAACCGATATTGTGTAGAAGAAGATAGCAATCATTGGAAAGAAAGCCGAGCGTATATTCAAAGCAGTCATAACCAAACAAAGGCACACCAAAATGAGGCAATGCGAATGCATAAAGCAGGCAATGGAGTCATCATGATGCATATTGGTCTGAAAATAAATATTCTAGGTTATAAGAGTAATAAATGTGAATGATTTTAAAATTCACTTACTCGCTCCTTGGTCCAACGCATGTAGATTGCCGGCAGCAAACACATAATAAAGAAGATAGGACAAAAGTAGATGCCAAAGATGAGCCAAGGCTCTGAGTACCAACACTCTGAGACACCGATGCCATCTATGGCAACCGCAACTAAAATTGTTAGACCCACTGCTGCAGCTATTGTTATAATTTGTACAACAAATATGGTAAGCAAGCGTATGAAGACTCGCTTAGTAGTGTCGGCATCGTCAGCACGTGACATTAGAAAAAAAGCAGCTGAGATGACTATGATAGCACAAATAGAGAACGTGATATTGAGTATAACCCCAGTGTCTTCTGAGTAGAAGATCAAAAACCAGCCGAGGTAATCGTAGAAGACGGTATGGCCTTTGGCTTGGTCCTGAAAATGATTTTGAGCTTTATAATTTTTTTTCAATTGCGAAGGTTTTATGATAGGTTAATAAAATTTTCTTTGAAAAATTTCGAAATAATGGGCGCAATAATGGTTCACAGATAGATGGTCACACATTCATTTATATGTATGTATGCATAAGTAAAAAAGATCTCCTGACGAGAAACTGTATATTGGCATGTGATACGTAATGTTAAGTTACTTTGGGCCATGTTATGTTGTTTCGTTACGTTACGTTTTGTTATGCTATGCTATGTTACGTTATAATACTTTATGAAACGTTATTTTACGTTAAGTTATGTTAAGTTATATTATGGTATTATACGTTATGTTACTTTAAGTTACTTTAGGTTACGTTATGGTACGTTTAGTTATATTACGTTACATAGCGTTATGTTGTGTTACTTTTTCAAAATCACAATGACTTTTCAAACTGCTCTTATATATTTTATATCTTATATTTTATATATAATATTTTCATACCCCTGGATTCTTCAATTCCGGTGCATTGGCCAGTGCCCACGTTAAGGCCAAGACGTTATCACCAGTCGTCTGACATGTGTGCCGTTCCAGATTAGCAAAAGTATCAAATTTAGTGTGATAAATATAACCGTTGAGTGAGTGAGCCATATCGAGGCCCGGTAACATGCCATAGTCACGAAAGATACGAAAATCGGTATCGGACGGTATGAAATTATTTTGGAATAACTCTTCCGCGATTGTGGTAGCAAAGGGGCGGGGTACACTTTGTTTATAGTACTTCATGAGCCAAGGGTGATTGGGACCCGATTGAAAGAGAATTTCACGACCACCCGAACCAGCAGAGTCCAAATTGATAAGAGCTCTAAAATTTAATTAATTTAAATGCAGTTAAATGATTTCACAAAAATAGTTAATGCTTAACTACATACTTGCAATACTGCGCCCATGTGTGTTGCGTGATGAAACCGTGCGATGCCAGGAGATTGCTCTCCTCAGCGCCATTGAAAAGAAATACAATGGGATTCATAAGCGGCTTCTCTGATTTTGCAATCACTCTGAGTATCTCCAGCATAATCACGATCATCACACCGTCGTCTCCGGCAGCCGGTGAGTGCACTTCTGAATCGAAATGCGCATTCACCAGTAAATATGAAGTGGACTTAATATTCTTTGGTGCCAATTTCACCACTACATTGGAGACATTACGATAGCTTGTGGCCATCTGCCACAACTCGAAATTTCCCGAAGAGTATTGCACCTCCACATCGATATCGTAGATATCGAGTCGTGCTTGTGTCTTGACTTTTTCAATTTCTCCAAGTAGAAAATTGATGGCTAGAACTTCGTTTTCTACGGTGCCTGTAAGTTTAACGCCAAAACCAGCTAATGTGATTAGTTGTTGTTCGGCGCGTTGTCCTATAAATTCATCGGGATGTTGTTGTTCCTCGCTGATTTGTAGTGTCTTTGGATAATTATAGAAGCTAGGTATGACAGCGGCATAGAAAAGCGCATACCAGACAGCACAGTAGATGGGCGCCCAGTACCAATCAAATTTCTTGCTTTTCTTTAGCTCTATGTTGTTGTTGTGCACTTCGAATTTCATAACGCTCATTGTGCTGTGTGAATTAAATATTATTTGGCTTTAGAAGTAAACTTTTTGACCAATGTAACCGGAAACATTTGTAAAGTTTAGTGACTTTCAAACTATAATATTCTATCTAAGAGATGGCGTTATTGTTCATAGTGCTAGTGTTACGTGTCATACTATACGGCGCTGAAAACGTGTTTATTCGCGCTAAAATTTTGTCTTTGACAGTTTTTCGATTGATTTACTCAGTACGTTGTGAGCGCTCGTCAAAGATGGACCAACAAAGAGAAAATTCGCTATATTTTACAAATTTTCTTCGATCAAGGCGAAATATCAGCCAAAGCGGCTGAGAAAATTAATTTAGTTTGTGGGCCCGATACTGTAAACGAACGTGTAGCACAAAAGTGATTTGCTAGGTTCCGTTCCGGTAATTTCTATGTCAAAGATGCACCACGCGTCGGGAGGCCTGTCGTCGAAAATTGCGATAAAATCATGGAAATAGTGGAAACAGACCATCACGTGAGCACTTATTTAATTGCTGAGGAAATAAAGATAAGCCAGAAAACCGTTTGGAATCATTTGCATAACCTTGGATTCAAAAAGAAGCTCGATGTTTGGGTGCCACACGAACTAACGCAAAAAACATGATGGACCGAATTTCCATCTGCGAATCGCTGCTGAATTGCAACAAAATCGACCCGTTTCTGAAGCGGATTGTGACTGGCGATGAAAAATGGGTCACTTATGAAAACATTGAGCGCAAACGGTCGTGGTCAAAGCTCGGGGAAGCGGCCCAGATGGTGGCCAAGATCTGATTGACGGCCAGGAAGGTTTTGCTGTGTGTTTGGTGGGATGGGCAAGGAATCATCTACTGCGAGCTGCTCCCCTATGGCCAAACGCTCAATTCGGCCCTCTACTGCCAACAACTGGACCGCTTGAAGGCAGCACTCATCCAGAAGATACCATCTATGATCAACAGCGGCCGAATTGTGGCATCAGAACAATGCCAGACCACACACGTCTTTGGTGACGCGCCAGAAGCTCCGGGAGCTCGGATGGGAGGTCCTAATGCATCCACCTTATAGTCTGGACCTGGCACCAAGTGATTACCATATTTTCCTGTCCATGGTGAACGCGCTTAATGCTGAGAAGTTGGCCTCAAGAGAGGCCTGTGAAAATTAGCTCTCCGAGTTTTTTGGCAATAGGAACGCAGTCTTCTACGAGAGGGGTATAATGAAGTTGGCATCTCGTCGGCAACAAGTTTACGAACAAAACGGCGCATATTTGACTTAAATCGGACAAATGTACACAAAGTTATCATCTTTCGAGAAATCAATAAAAAACCGAACGAACTTTTTACTTTACCTAATATTAATATTATATTTCTATGGGTGAAGTACAAGTGATTTTATACATCATACTTATGTAGTTCTCAACTAGTCGTAATTAAACTACTTCGATGGTGATGTGGATTATGAATATTATTTGAATTAGAAAGTATTCGAGTATCGAAAAATTATTCAAAAACACATATTTCGATACTTTAAAATAATAGCGCACAGTTAAGATCGTGCTGTTGGGTTATCGAATATGGCCTTTTTACTCTTAATGCAATATTTATTCAATAATAGAAAATTGAGTAACATATTTGATTGAAATATCCAAAAAAATGTAAACTGAACTTATAAACGTAAATTACTGGCAAATGCTGTTCGAAAGGACTTAAGGGTTTATATCCACTTACAAGTCATTAAACGTGTTTTTGTGTAAATTTGTTTTGAAGACGCATTTTATGTAATACAAATTTTTAAAAATTACATGTACAGAATTTAAAGTACTTTTATATTACTATTTGCAAATTTTCGGAAAATATTCTCAAATATATGTACATACGATATATATAAAAACAAAATCGATTTTTTGAAATTCACATTTGGATATAACCCCTTAAAGCAATCATCCTCTGCACAGCAAGATTTAGGGCGACTAAAAGGAAGGTATTCATATCACAGCTCAATTCCCGGGAGTTAAACAGACTCAAAGGTTAATGTAGTATATACTTACAAGACAACATAAACAAATTTGAACGAGCCATAATGAGGTGTTACAGTAATTATAGCTAAGAAGCACAACTGTTGACAATAGTTTAGGACTAAGACGAACAAATATGGCCTCACTATCTACTGGGTTTTGAGTAAAAAGGATGTGCAACGAGAGAAAAAAAATAAAAAAATGACGCGTGATTTGTCAAAAAAAAAGGCTATTCAAAAAAGTACCTCTTTGCGGAGATCTTTGAACTACCAGGATTTTCTTTATATTAAGTCAATAACACGTTTACGCAGAAGAAATCTATTAATTAATAGCAACGGGAATACCGAATTTAAAATATTTATCTCTCTTTTTATTTTGGAGGAGTAATTTTACTAATAAAAGTTATCTTGATAACCTTGTTGTGTTCTCATTTTGTCTAGCTTAGTCTACCATTTAAGTTTCGATTTTTTGTTGTCGAGTTTACAGTTTTGTAACGAATGTGAACATATTGTTAACTTGATGACTCTGGGACAATTTTTACGGACCTCCGTTATTTATAGAATACACTTAATGGATATGAGCTATTATTTATTTTTTATTTTTTTATTTCTGGTAATGCATGGACATGTATACCGTTAAGTATCAATCGTCTGACTCTCTTTATCTCTTTTACAAACAATTGTCATTTCCTTATCTCCCTCTCTCCTTCTTTTTTTATATCTCTCTCCTCTATTTATAAAATATTGTTGAGGTCTACCTCAACAGCAAAATGCTATATACACACTCCAAATAACTCAAAAACTGATAAACGAAATTTAAGTACTAATATTATAAAAGTTCAATTAACTAATAATTAGGCTTATTGCGCCAATTAAATGATTGATATGAGTAGATAATCTCCACACGTTTCAAAACTGAACAATAATAGTTCAAAGGTTTTTTTGAAGAACTTTTTCAATTATAAAAGGTTATATTTATATTTTTCTAAAATTTTATTTCTATAAAATAATAATAGTTTCCCCCAATTTTAAATTACATTATATATACATAATTTGATCACAATATCTCCAAAAAATGCTTTGTACCTATTTTTGTATTTTCTTATTAATTATTATACTCGTTAATTTTACACATACGCACTTTTATTTTAGCTATTTTTTTTTAGTGTACTTTTATTTGAAAAAACTAATTTAAATAAATTAATAATGAAATTTATTTAATTTTATTTCTTAAATTTTATTTGTATGCACATTATGTTTATTTGGTGACTACCACTTCACAGGCCTTTCCCTCAGCTACTGATGTTTGCTGAGTGAGCAACACATGGTTTATTTACCCCATTCCTTTCGATGTTGCAGATAAGCTGATAGCAAAGATTGCATTAACTGGACTATAATCAGTTACAGTTGATAAGATGCATTGGGAGTAAAGGTATTATAATGATTAAAATTATCGTGGTATTTAGGTAGGTAGTAAAATCGCGTTAATTTTTTAGCGAATTTATTAAAGCTCTTTCTAGTAGGCTCCAGTAAACTTCGTTGTATTCCGATGATTTTTTTTTAATTACAGGGAAAATTTGAATCAACAAGAATTTATTTTGAATATAGAAATATGAAATTTTTCTAATAAGAATTTTATGAAATTATATAGAAGCGTATATGTTTAGTATAGATTTATAATTTATATTACTAGTTAATTATAAATAAACTAAAAAAAATTAATAAATAATGAAATTTTGATTATATTAAATTTTGGCTTGCAGAACACAATTGGATTACTAGTTATCGTGACAATACGGTATAAAAATAATAATTGATTAAATACAATTTCACTTATATTATTCTTAGAAGAGACTAACAGAGTGTTAAGTAATTATACTACTTATTAATTACCTGTTGGCATATTTTTTAGATTTGAATTAAACGTTATTTTTTTAAATATATCAAAGTAATAAAAATATATAACAATTGAAATTTTTTTTTTTTAATTAAAAGTGAATTCTCTGCCATATGCATACTTACTTTATGTGTTTTTATTTACATATAATCACAAGTGTTTTATATTTAAATCTCTTGTATACATCTGAAATCTGGAAGTAACAAGAGTACTTTGATTTTGATAAGTTTCCATGTTGTTCACAGATATGTATATACATATGTATAGGTAGTTATTTATCACCTATTATTAATATTTTCTCAACGGTTGCACCGAAGCTATATGTTATGTTAATACTCTTAACAAATAAACATGCTCCATATAATATCTGATTTTGTACGATCAGTTTGAATAGCTGCTATATGATATAGTGGTCCGATCTGAACAATTCATTCGGAGATTGTAGCGTTGTCTTGAACCATAATCCATGCCGAATTTCGTGAAGATATCTCGTCAAATTAAAAGTTTACCATATAAGGACAGCTAAATGCTACAGTGTTCCGATATCGGCCATTCCGACAAATAACCAGCTTCTGATGAAGAAAAGGACGTGTAAGGAAGGGCTAAGTTCGGGTGTAACCGAAAACTTTATACTCTCGCAATTTGAAAAGATTCAAGGCGTGTAATGCTTTCAGGTGTTACAAAAGTTTATATTAAAAATTGTTGCGAAACAATTCAACATGTATTATTCGAAGTAACCAAATTTAGTATCTTATTAACTCATTGTATATTATAACTCGTGAACTCAATCAGTTACTTTTCCGAAATATTAATATTAAAATAAAATTAACAGAAATGAGATATATGTGATATAAACTCAATCAAAGCCATTGACGCCATTAAACGTTACATTTCACAACCAGGATGGTGAGGAAGAGCTTTAAAGCAGGTGCAAAATTGAACAACGGGCGTGGCACTCACCTTTAGGTGAAACTCTATATCTCTGAAATTACCTAATCAGTTTCAACCACTTCTATGAGACACTGTAAAACAAGGGTGAATTTTAACTGTTAATTATTTACTTTTTCCATTTAAGTAAGTTTTAAATTTTTTATAAAGAAATAATTGTTCACTCGAAAATTTATTCTCTGGAATTTTCGAAAATTATTATTAGAAATTGATTTTATTAAATAAAATATTTTGTGTTGACTCAGCGAGTGATCCATAACATTTTTCAAATCGGGACATGAGTCTGCGTGTGGATTTTTCTGATACCAGAATCGTTGTAATAATCTAAAAGCGCAAATACGGTTCGAACCGCAGCACCGTTAAGTGAAAAAACTGTTATCCTCTGTAGTAACATGTTGCAATCAAAATGCTATTACGCTGCATATATATGTATTGCAAAAACGAATAAAGCTTTTTTCATACTCTAGCAACATGTTGCAACCGAGAGTATTATAGTTTTGTCCACCTTGACCTCATAAAATGTAAACAAAGGGGTCATAGACCCGATAAAATGTAAACAAGAGGGCCAGTAACCCTAAATGTAAATAAAGGTTGTTGACTTGGCTAAATGTAAACAAAGGGTCACTGACCTCATAAAATATAAACCTCATAAAATGTAAACAAAGCGCCAGGAAACCCAAATGTAAATAAAGGTTCTTGACTTGGCTAAATGTAAACAAACGGGTCATTAACCTCATAAAATGTAAACAAAGGGTTCATTGACCTCATACAAATGTAAACAAAGGAATCATTGACCCCATAAAATACAAACAGAAGTGTAATTTCAAAGGTTGTTGACTTGACTAAACGTAAACAAAGGTTGTGAACTTGGTTAAACATTCATACGAAAGCGCAAGAAATAAGAGATATATTAAATTTTAGGGCTTTTAAGGTGCTACATATGAAATGGTAGTTCGAAAATTTGTTAAAAAAAAAAAATTTGTTAAAAAAAGGTAATTAGGGATCTAAATTATTGGAAGTTTCATATTTATATGACATTGCGTACAATTGTTTTCTTTATTATTCAATAATTTGTTGCAAATATTTTTGATTTGTTTTATATATTAAATCTATATACTAATTGATATTAAGCATGGTGATAAGAACTTTTTTATTTCCACTAACTGAAATATTTTCGAATGCATTTTACTTTGTGTGATTAAGTGTTTTTTTCATACATGTTGCAACAGATTATAATAGGCGTGGCACCCGCCTTTAGGTTGAAACTCTATATCTATGAAACTACCAAACCAGTTTTGATTAAATTTGGCACGTGAAGTTATCCAACAATTTCTATGAAACACTGTAAAGCAAGGGCAAATTTGAACCATTAATTATTTACTTTTTCCATTAAAGTAAGTTTCAGCTAAGTTCTTATAAAGAAATAATTGTTCACTCGAAATTTTATTCTCTGGAATTTTCGAAAATTATTTTTAGAAACAGATTTTATTAAATAAAAATATTTTGTGTTGACTCAGCGAGTGATCCATAACATTTTTCAAATCGGGACATGAGTCTGCGTGTGGATTTTTCTGATAACCGAATCGTTGTAGCAATAAAAAAACGCAAATACGGTACGTTTTAATTACTGTAGTTACAGGCTTGTAGCTATGTATTTGAGTTTTTGATTCAACCGCCATTTTCTTTATTTTTAAATAAAAACTCAATTAAGTTTGAAAATTTTCACTGGTTTATTATAAAAAATTATTTATATTTATTTATAATTTTTTTTTTGTTGTTCTACAAATTTGCACGGTAGAAATAAATTAAAAAAAGAATAGTTTCAGAATTTCCTCTAAGAACTTTTTTCTTAAGTCAATATTAAGTTGGAACATTAAAATTATATGTTGAACTTAGAACAGTCGTGTCTCATAATATGCTGGCCATGCTATCGCATCCACATACTTGGGGAAGCTCTGCAGAAATTTCTTAAAGTCTGGAGTATGAGTGCGCTCATCATGATTCCAATGGCCAGCGATGCCAATCTCAAATATAGCTGAGCTCCAGTCCTCCGTGGGATTCTGAGAATGAGATGAAATTTTTAATACATTTATTATTCATTTATTTATGTACTATATAGTAATATATATAGTTTTCTTTAAGTCATTAGAAAACATTAAACTATATGATGATTTTTCTAAAACATCATATGATAATTAGCATGTGATAATGTGATCATTTGATAACACATCATGCGACGTTTTATCATATGATATGTTATGTTGGGAAGTGATTTTGGGAAATGTTTTATGAATGCAAAGTTATGAAATAAAATATATGTTTCTCTTTTAATTTCCACTATAAATATACAATTTACCCACGATAAATACTCACCTCAAATTCAAGTGTGAATTTCAATGGAGTACTATCCTTGCCGTATGAGAAATATATGAAGTATGGTGGCTCCCAATCCAAACGCAATGGCGTGTAATGGAATGACCAGGCTTTGATCTTGCGATCTTTCAAAGGATTTATAAAGATGCCCATGTGATCGGGACCACTTAACTCTAGTACATAGCGTATAGAAGTTTTACTTAATTGATCCTTTAAAATCAAGTTCAACTGTGGCTCTTTGTCAAATTTGGGATCAGGGCCAGGGATCCAAACACTTGAGGCGCTGTTGAAAAAAATAAAAATTCCTTAATATTATTTGAGTGTTAACATGTGTTCACATACCGCGCTTTATGCCAGCGATGGTTGTAGAGCGGTAAACCGCACAGCATCTCCTCGGCGCAATCCTTGTCGAGTGTTTGTGCCGAAGACATGTTGAGTAAGTGATCTGGTGGTGGAAATAATTTGAGGTTAGGTTCAATACTAACTTAAAATGCATAGAAGAACGTACTCTTAACAGAATAAGTGCGTCGATCTTGCGGTAAAAGGAAGTAGCCTGTCTCTATGCGACGTACAGCATTCGTTTGATCATGGAAGACGCGACGGGTGTGCTGAATTTAAATTTGGAAAAATTATTTTAGAGGTTTCATAATATTGGTTTTTGTCGACTTACCAATACTGAAAAGCGCTGTATATTAGTCTCTGGACGGTACGGAAAACCGATGGGTGTCACTGCGAGTATTATAAAGAGCACAGTAAATGTGAGTAGTGAGCAAATTATAGTTTTGGACTTGTGGAACAGGTTGAGTACTGGAATCTATGAAATGAAATGTGAACAATATTGATATTTAAATAAATATTATAATAATAATTATAATTAAATAAAGTTAGATTGAGTTACTTACCATAAAACCGCCGGTGAGTAAACCCATACTCACTGTAAATGCGCATATGATCAGATCGGGATTTACACTGGCGCCGAAGCGACCGGTCATTGGAATGAAGGCGACAAAGAAACCATGTGCCTGGTAGGCGTAGAAAAGGAATGGTGGAATATTACAGAGGATATGTGGTATCAGCCATAGTAATGCTGTGAAAAAAATATTTTCCGGTAATGAAAAATGTAATAATTATATAATTATGTGTTCACTTACAGCTGTTATGTAATTTGGTACATAAATTGATGATTAAACCGATTGAATAAAAGAGCACCGCGATCATAAGCATAAAAGCGGAGCGTATACCGGCAATAGAGGCGATCAGTATAACGAAAGTCAGGAAGAGACAGTGGCAGTGCAGCAATATTTGAATACGATAACCAAGTGGGAACCGCTCCTTAAAAAAAATTAAATACGTTATATAAAATTCACATATATATTTGTATACGGAAAACTGCACTCACCTTCCGTTGCGAATGGAAATATAATGCTGGCACTATGGCGTAACCGAAGAACAGCGGACAAAAGTACAAACCCATAATGAGCCAAGAGTTGGTAAACCAAGACATCGGCATATGTACTAGATCCATGAATACACCGACCGAGAAGCAGAGCGCTGTACCGCTGATCACAGCGAGTACTTGTACGCCGAGTAAAGTGAGAGCACGATTTAAGACGCTACCGAATTTAGTACCCGTACTATTTGCCATTTGTTTGAACGAGTAGGTGCATATACTGATCGCGACTATGGAAATGAATACATTTAAAATGACACCCTCAGTTTGCGTATAGAAGACCAAATAACGGCCGAGCACATCGTAGAAGATGGTATGGCCTTCGGAATCGTGCTAAAGTAAAAATATAAAGAATGATGAAACTAAAAAAATGAATGGTGAAATTAAGTTTACACTGAAATAACTACTTACTGAGGGATCCTCCAACTCAGGCGCATTGGAAAGTTCTCGCACTAACGCTAGTACATTATCACCTGTATTTTGGAAGGTACCACGTGGTACGATCGCCGAAACATCGTAGCGTGTGTGATAGACATAGCCGTTATATTGATGTGCCATATCCAAACCTGGGAGTAGAAAGATATATTAGAAAATAAAAACCATAAATACTAATATACACATTGCAAGTAGTTTATGAGTAATTGAATTACAAATACTTGTTTAAAGTATCATGTATTTAATATTTTATGTGAGGGATTTGAATTCGGTTTTGTTAATTATATACGTATATTTGGTACTGACTGGTATTGGTTTTACAAGTATTTGTGTAATACTTGTATAGTATTTATAAGTTGGCATTACGATTACTAGATGTTTGTATTGGTATTGCTATTGATATTTGTATTGATATTGTTGTTTTTCTTATTTATCATATTATCAGTAATATTGCTTGTATTTAATAGTAATACCGCGGCATCAATATTTTTACTTGTAATGGTATTTATCGTTGTGATTGTTAATATATTAACATTAGGTTTACAATTGGTAATCGTACTGACATTCGTCATAATATTTTTATTAGTATTGACATTTGCGATGATATATGTGAGTGTCATTATATAAATATTGCAGTTTTGTTGGTATTGGTGTAAGAATTGAAAGAGCTAATCAAATGTGCTAGTTGTGGAAGAGCTATTTTCAATTATGTATTGTGCTTATTATAATAAATTATTAATCACATTCAATTACACTTATACCTACCCACTATACGCCCGTGATCTCTAAAAATTCTAAAATCCGTGTCCGACGGTATAAACTGCCGTTGGAACATTTCTTCCGCCACTGTCGACGCATACGGATGCATAATGGCGCGTCGATAATGCTGTTTAAATTAATAGAAGTGCTCAAATTAACATTAAAGGGCTAGCACTAGAGTTTAATAGGTAAAGTTTTAATAAGATATTTTTCTACCGTTTCTTCTCCTTCTACTACTCACCTTCATCAACCAAGGGTGATTAGGGCCAGATTGGAAAAGAATTTCGCGTCCACCGTTGCCAGCTGAGTCCAAATTTATTAAAGCTCTGCATATTGAATATTTTAAAAAGTAATTAATATTTTAATGAGTTCATGAAAGGAGATGAAACAGAGCTGCTGACTTGAAGTTCATTATTGATTGAATATTTTGGTATTATGCAAGTATATTAAAATGAGCCATTATTGAATAACTATTTAACTTTGGGTAAATTTGTTTGTGCGTCTCTTACTTGACATATTTGGCCCATTTGTGTTGTGTAATGAAAGCGTGTGAGGCCTGTAGTGGATTCTCTTCAGCGCCATTGAAAAGGAAGACAACAGGATTACGCAGCGGCTTATCCGATTTCGATAAAACCTATGCGAACATCATAAAACCGGAAATTTCGAATATCAGATTTATAAACAACGAAAGTTATTTTAGTTTTAACTTACGCGTATTGTCTCCAACATAATAGCAACCATTGTGCCGTCATCGCCAGCACCTTAGTTTGAATTAAATTAACAAAAAAAAAACCGAGTATTTAGTTTTTAATAGTGATTTATAAAATTTATATGATGAGTGATTTATAAAATTAAGCCTTAACGAGGCAAAAATACCGTTGCTTTTTACCTACCTGTTCCATGCGGCACCGAATCATAATGGCTATTCACCAACAAATACGAAGTGCTATTCGACTCTTTCGGCGCAATTTTAATAACAAAGTTCTGTATACCTTGATACATATTCACCATATTCCAGTGACAATAGCTACCAGAAGCTAACTGTATATCACTTTCAATTTCGTATATGGGATTAGCTTCAGCTTTCAGTTTTGTTACGTAATTTTGAAAATATTTGATAGCACCTTCCTCATTCGCCTTGCTACCCACCACACGGGGACCTAATTCAGTCAGTTTTTTCAAATTTTGTTCTGCTCTCTCCGCTATAAAACGATCAGGATAACGGGATTCATCCGCAATATTAATCGGTTTGGGTAATCGATGGTAGGCGGGTATGGATATGCAAAAGTAGAGTAGCACCCAAAAGCTGAGGAAGATTGGTGCCCAGTACCATTTGATTTTACCATGATCAACGAAGAGACGTTGCCAGCAATTTCGGGTCTGCGAAAAAGTATTTTGAGTAATGAGGTATCAGAGAGGTGTGTTGGATTTTTTTTTTACTAAGAGTTCTATAAATAATGCTTATATATTAGCAATGAAGGGCTAGTGGTTGTAGCGTTACTAACCTTGACGCCACAGTTTGTTTTTGTACTCAGTTTGATAGGTGGCTTATATTTTATGCATCTATATGCACTGGCAGTTATTATCAGCGGCCATAAATTTTTTAACTAATCATATATCTTATCTGACATTGCCATTGATTAATAACTTGTATGTTAGCAAATCCATATGCTTTTAGTGAATTGAAATACTCTATTTTTTCTATACTTGCTATGAACTTCGCTTTGTCAAATTCTAAAGTTATATTGGCAAAAATCGTATAACCTTATGATAAGATTTGATACAATGCGGCTACTGCGCCCCTTATGTTTAACTCGAGAGGTCATAAATTCACGTGTATACGCCGTAGATATGTTACTGAATATTGGCGTATCTTTATCAGTGGTTTGTATTGTGTTGACGAAACTTAGATATGATCTGAGTTGCTTTTTTGGTTGATCGTTTTCTATTGTTTTATGGTTAAGAAAATAATAGTAAAGGGGGTATATTAGGTTCGCCATAGCAGCTTCTGGCTGTTGAAGGACACGTCGGAAACCCTATAGAGTGTACTTAGTCTTGTCATAAATTCAGTTAATATTTTGAGAACATTTGTTAACCGCACTATTAACCATTTTTGCCAAACGTCTACAGTTGTGATAGAAAGAGAAATGATCGTACTTGCGTGATTCGAACCAATTCATCCATTAAAACTGTTCAGAAATGTTGTTATGTCAAAGGAAATAGATATATCGACCAGATCAATGTCAAGGCTTATTCGAAATGACCTCCATATTAAGCCCTACTGTGGGGTCGACTTATGATCTTCTGACAAAAGGCTTGAAGCAAATTAGCTTTTGCAGTGGCAGGTGGTCAACGGCTCTAAAAGTATTCTTTTAACAGATGAAACCATTTTAACAGTAAGATTAGTCTTTAATAAGAAAAACCTAAAATCTACGGTAACTATAATTTATTGTAGTCAGCTGAATCAATTTACATCTTAAAATTAGTATCATATATGCACCCAAAAGTATGTATTAACACACTTACATAAACCTACATATATATCATAATAATGCTGATAAAAATTGTGTCATAAAAAGCACATCAATTTTACTATGATTCAGCAAACTTCTAAAAACGCAATCAGAAGAACCGTATCTATAATCAAACGGCTTTACTATGATTGTATATATATATATATTATATATATATTTATATAAATATATATACAAATGTAGGAGACGGTGACTAGTGCTAAAATAAAATAACTATACTTCTATACACTACAACCACATCGAAAAAGAATTGGAGAAAAGATAGATACATTTTTATTTCCAAAATTCGTTAAAAGAAACACCAAGCATATACTTGTATATGTATGCATATAATATACAAGGTGTGTCCTAAAAATAACCGCGCCTTTTAGATATAAAATAAAATGCATATTTTATTATATTTTAAAGTTCTAATGTAAACAAAAATAGTTAGACTCAATACAGTGTTTGGAGCAATTAATCAGAGCATGCACCTCGTTTACAGCAGCTTAAATGGCTGGGATACTCCTTTCATGTTTGTTTTCAGTTTTGAAAATTAAAATAGTTATATGGCGATTGTCAAGCTAATATGTAGGGTGGTTGATGAGATAAATTCGGTTTTTTTTTTAAAACTCGTTCACTTTTTTGGTCTTCCTTTAATTCACGTGTAATACAAATAGCGTTTTTACTCGTTTTTAATTTCTCTGCCAATATTTTCGTAGTAAAATTTACATCGATACCAATAATTTCATGGACTTTTTCTACCAATTCAGCACGATTACCAGCTAGTTGATAATAGGACTTTCATCACGATCATAAATTTAAATTGTATGAATCACGTACGTATAAACTTGAGTACGATTCATACATTCATTGCCATAAACTTCTTTTTATCAATTCGTATTTTTTAAATTCGTATTAAGTTTAAAACAACAATTTATAAATGCTCTTTGTAATGGATTATAGATATTTTTTTATCTGTCATCCGATTTATATTAAGTTTGGTGTTTCTTAGTTTAAAAGAAGATGAATTTATCTTGTGAATACTGAAAATTTACAATATATAATGTTGCATGTTGTATGATTCAAGTATTAAGTTCGGTTATTTTTGGGACACACTTTGTATGTATAGTTTTTGTGTTTACATTTAGTACCCGACTCACTTGAGAAATAAAAACAAAAACCCCTAAGGTGTTAGCGCCTTATCAATTTTATCATCAAGCGTATGGTGTTAAGCACCTGGTCACTTAAAAAAACGTTAGCGACTAGCGCTTTGAGCACAGCGACCGAATCAAGAAATCCCGTAACGAAAATAGTCCTAACACGATCACAAAGTATGCGCAAAATATTTGCATACTTGTAGGCGTATTTTCGCATATTTCAAGCGGAACAAATCAATAGAAGAGCAGGGTGATTCAAAATAATAATATCTTAGATATTTAATGGCAAATAAAAATATAGAATTTAATCAAAATTTAAATAATAATAATTAAATTATTCAATATTCGGAGTATAATATTAGTAACATATTATTTTGGTAAAGAGCTACCCCACCTTTTGGAACAGTATCTCGTTCGACTTGAATAATACAATTTAAATTAGGTATTTCAATCGGATTATCAATGGTAATAAATTTCCACTTATCTTGGCTGGTGTTTTCAACAACAACTTTGCTGATAAAATATCAGAGCGGTTGGCAATTTTTCTTGCGGAAAAATTGAACTTGAAAATGAATAATGAATAATGATCGACAGGAATCCACAACGAAATATGGGACCACCATGGCGCGGTATTTTTCAGATATTTAGAGAATATCAAGTTTTAAACTTCTGTAAATAATTATAATTGCAAAAGTTGAGAAAAAATGCTATGCAATAGCTTTACCGCGGCAATCCAAGATGCCAACCTTCTTTTTTTATTGGAAAGAATTTTATGATGGATTTATATTATATTGAGTTGAAAAATATGATGATTGAGTTGCTGTGTAAGTCCAAGGGTGGTTAAAAAATAATACTGAATTCTATATTCTATTCAATAAAAGCTAATATATGTATATAAAACAAACATACACATAGATACATATATTACAAGTATATGCTGAGCTTCCTCTGGTAATAAAAATTTGAACAGTGATTTCGTTGTTAATAATATTTTTCTATCAAATAAAAAGTAATTTAGTTTTTTCAGGCTTTTGTTGAACATTATATAATATAATGATTTTCTATGTCATTTTAAAAAATTTAATAATCAAAAATACAGAGTTGCCACATAAATTTGGTGTTCCAACTTAAACACTACCCACTAATATGGAATTTACCGTACAATATTTTTCCTTTAACACTAATTTTTTATACATACATACAAATTATTTTGCAACAACAATGTATGTATGTATTAAATTTGTGAAATTAATCTAAGTTTCTTGAAGACTAGACTGTTATTCATATACCCAATAACTTAAACTCGAATTTAAGAACATATTCTAAGTTTAAGAATTTTTTTTATATAGCAAACATTAAAATTAAAGCTTTTATTTATTTTTTCACGTCATTTATTTATTTATTTTTTATATATTTTGTTTTCTGTGATTCTTTTACGTAAATATTGAAAATATATATGCGGGTTAAATAATGATTATATTATGTAAACAAATCAGTATTTATTAATTTGCGGAACGTGCTAATGCGATGCAATTGATGAGCGCAACAAGCAGATGCTTGTTTACTTTTTTATATATTTTTATTGCATGCCGCAGGTTTTTATTTTAATTTTTAGTATTTAAGCACATTGTAAAACCATTGTTGTAAATATATATATGTATATCGTAGTATAAATTTTTAATTCCTGCTCTCAAACCACTCATTATAAAACTCATACATACATATATATTTATATGCACAGTATGTATGTAGAGAGGCAGTAATTTAAATGCCGGCTTGAGTCTAACTTGTACTTACTCGAAATGTCTCGCTGCGCTGCTGCAGCAACGGATCGGTGGTGTGCGTATTGGGATTAGGCGTCATCACACGTCGTCTGATTTCACCCTTACTGCTCATCGTGCAGCAAACAACTGAGCCCACAAATCAAACACTATATGCGATTAGTTAAATCGCAACTAGCCAATAATTTTTGGCGATTTATTAAGTTACAACAACCAGACAGCACAATCTTAAAAAGTATTATTTACACTGCTTATTTTAGCCAATTTGTCAGGTAAGTGGTTCTCAATTTTCGGATTGCTAACAAATTCGAAACTTGTACTAGCTCAACACTAATCAAATCACAACCAAAAGACATGACTTTTAGTCACATACTGTCCGTCTGCCGGCGTGCTGAGGTATACGAAATGTTATTGTTACACGCACACATACTTGTAGTTAAAGAGTATGTGAGTATATGCCTTTGGCTCTCAATATGTTTTAAGGTAAATAAATGGAGAGTTTTTCAAATGCTCTCCAGAGATTTAGTTAATTTTGCCAAATGTCTGCGTGAGTAATCGCCGGTTCGGAGGCAAGTGCACCATACTCTCTTGGAGAATGCGAAACAAAACACGATAGAGAGAGCGATCGATTTGTGTTGGTTGTTGTATATTTTTATATACTTATACCTTTTTTTTTGGTGATAAATAAATGCGTAGTTCTATTTACTTTTTTATTTATTTTTTTAATTTCTCTTTTGATTGATGTGTCTAATCTTTTTTTGTTTATTTTAAAACTTTCTATTCAATGTGGAAGTGTTTCTTCCCAAATTGGTCTGAAAAATTACAACCCTGCCTGCAGCGGAGTAAATGTTATCATTTTTCGTTGGCGGTACAGTGGTGGTTAGGTCAGTGGGACATGTAATTAGGTACGAGAAGGTGTGTGATGCGACTGCTGAAGACTATTTGACAGAAGCAATGACAGATTAATATTAATCACACAATGGTTTGAGCTTTGAAATTTTAAATCAAGCATAATCTTAGTATAAAAAGTATTTTATGAGCATTTTCAATATTTTAATAATAAAAATGCTTTAATCAATCTAAAATATGTTTAGAAAGTAGTGTTGGTGAGTATTTGCTTGATTATTATCCAATGAGTCTGTGAAAATGTATGGTAGAAACTCTTTTCTATATCTTGAATATGGATTAACTGAGTTTTAATGTTTCACAAACTGGAGTTTTTATCAGGGACCCTTGGGATATCCCTCACAAATCTCCATTTGAATGAAAGCTGTTAATTCTTTTAAAATATTTATTTTATCGGGTTCATTCTTCTAAAAAATTGTATATAAATCATTTGTTTTTAGAATTTTTGCAAATTATTTCTTAACATAGCATTATTTTGTAATATATTGAAAAAGTTTTAAAATTATCGTTAGTTTTGTTACGATGTTTCTTCGTGAAGCTCTACACGTACTTTGAAAATAATTTCCTAAAGTAATTAAAACATGTACATAAGAGTCAGTGTATGTTTTTGTTAATTAGTTTTATAATTGGGGTATTCAGTAGTTTAATTAGATAGTAGTGACTACGGTATATATACATTGTTTTGCAGGCATAAATAATTTACATAAAATATATTTATGGTCGTTTGTTATCTTATGTTCACAAAATGAATGTTATGTTAGGTTCACAAAATGATTGAGGACCCAGGTGCTTTCACGGTCAGTCAGAAACGATACATTTGAGAAGTAAAATTTAAGTATATTATACTCACAATTTTCGAGAAATTTTCGACAGGTGGATCAGACAACTCTGTATCCACGCAAGTACGGCTAATTGTTGCACAACGTACACTCAACTTATGAGGTTCAGAGAACAAAGAAATTCACACCTGTTTCCGATTTGGTAATAATGAAAAGCGAACGTCATAACTTCCATACTCAAGTTAGGTTTAATTATTATTAACTTAACTTGAATCAACAACAAGCAATTTATGTTCTTTTTGCAAAAATACATAATATATATATTTTTTTGTGTACCAATACTACTGGTAAACAATTTTAAACTTTTTGTTTTTTTTTTTGTCTTCCTAAACTGTTTCTTATTAATTTAGCCCTAGTTTTACCTGTATCCCGGTTCTGGTTTTTTGATACAGATACTTTTTGAAACATTGTTACTCGGCTCACTTGAATTAATTTTTAGGGCGAAAACTTACTAAATTTCATAAATAAACCACTATGTCTACATTGAGAAGAACTTGTTTAAATGATCCGAATAGTTTTTGGTGGTGCTGTTTGTGGTGACTAAATGTTTAGAGAATGCCGTTTATATGCACCTGATTCTATAAAAAAGGCCTATTTGGACTACTTTGAGAATAAATTATATATAATATATGGTAGAAAATAACTAGCTGATATGCGTCGATTTTAAAATGGTGAATTTTCTTTTAACAAGTTAGGTTAGTTAAGGTTAACAAGGAGGATATACCAAATCCCACTTTTTCATGTGCTTATGGGATAGAAGAACCAAGACAGAATACTGAACTAAGAAGTTTGGCCTTTGAGAGTGATTTTAGTACTGGGTAGTATGAATGCGCTAAATGCCCCTCTAGTAGCTAGAAACGGCAATAAATTACTCTCTCTTCATATAAAGTTAGGTCCGATAAAACAGTTTGTAAAAGCTCTAAACAAGGATGTGGTATGTTTTAAATATATCAGTAAAATATTTCCGAAATTAAGATCATACAAAATTTGGTAAAAAGTCATAAAACAAAACTTCTATTTCCCAGGGTAATATGAGCCAAATTTCGAGAAGATAGCTCTTCAAATTCACAAGTTTTTCATTCAAAAAATTGATTTTGATCACTTAGTTTGTATGAAAGCTTAATGCTATAGAGATTTGATAACGGCAGACAGAGGATACTTCAAAAACAGAGGAACTAGTTCGCGTATAAACAGGCAGACAGAGGGATAGATATGATTAAATTGACTCCGTTCGTTACGCTGATCATTCACGCATATATGCGTGTACTTTAAAGGGTTTCCAACTTTACCTTCTGGGTATTACAAACTTCGTGGCGTACTTAATATACCCTGTTCAGAGTATAAAAATGTTTTTAAAATGGGTTGTAAACTTTAATTGTCGAATGATAATGTGAAGCTATTTTTTTTAGAATACTGTGTTGGCATATACATATACATTTATATATATAACTACTTGTATAAGTGCATCTTATTAACTGAGATGATTCGCGGAAAAAATTTGCACCTAGTATGTACGAGTATAATGAATATGTCATTAAATCTGCATCAGTGAGTGACCACTAACTAGTATGTACATACCTATGTATGTGCTGGAATGACATGCAAAAAATACGAAGAAAAAAAAAAATAATTGCAAAATTGCATATTTATAGCGAATTAAGTGCTCTTCATGTTAAATAATCTGTGACATACTCAGAACTAAAGGTACTTATTTAAATATTGCGTAAAGTGTGTAAAATTAAATAGACAAGGTCAAAGGTTAAAAAGCTTTTTTTTTGCGATTTTAAAAGAAATGGAAAGTTGTATCAAAAAGTTGCTGAAGGCACAAACTGTAGATCATTTAATTATCTATAAAAGATTTCTCAATACTTTTTTCTAAGGGCCACCGCTTCTGAGATATAACGATTCAAAAAGCTGTAAAAAGAGCACTAAGTACAGCACCTCAAAGAGGCCTGAAGAAAAAAAAATTAAAAGGGCCCTTGTTGGCCTCCTCCTCCTTCTGTTTTTCCTGTAAATTTTTTCACGGAAAGCGTAAAAGGTAAAATTATGAAATTTTTGCACAGCTGTCGGATAAAGTTTATTGAAGCTTTATAAATAATTTTTGGCGACCTAAGTAAAGTGGTGAAAAGGGGGTTACCGAACAATGGCGACATGTCGTCGGTGACTCGTCCTCAAAGTGGAAATACTAGCCTTCGTAAATATGATGTGAAATGCAAAAGAAACATATTTTATTAATCTGTACACTTTTCCACATTCGTGGTACTAGAACAAAGAAGAACCTTTAAAAAATGCAAAATTTATGAGTTTTTGAAAATAAAAATATAGATTTTAGACTCTTTTATTATTACCTATTTTTTATTAACTAAAAAATTTTAAAATTTTTTAACAAATTCTAGTACCACAGATGCACAAGCTTCTTATGAACAGGTGTCAAAAATGTCATGGCGATTGCTCAATTTTTGCACTCTGTAGGATTTCCACCAACTCGAAAAGCGTGGTTTTGAGAAAAACGCGTTTACGCCAGCCCGCGGCGGACCGTGGGCTTGACACCGCTCCACCAAACGCCCGACAACTTTCGTAATTTGACAGGTTTCAACAACGAAATTTTGTAAACGAATTCTTGAAATGTGTTATTTATGTAACCTGGAATGTTGATTTTGACCGCATTATAGGTATACAAAATAAGGTTTTTACACATTTTGTTTTATGTAAGTAGTTGAGATCATGTGTGCAACAGCTGACTACTTATTATATTTGATAGCTAGATATTGTAAAAAAAATGTCTGAAAAAAAACAACAATATATACCAGATATAAATTCATACCGATTTTCAGCTTGAAAAAAAATTTTTTTAAAATTAATTTGTCTATATTTGTTATTTACAAAGAATATTACTAGACATTTCTTAATTATTTTCTCGTCATATTTATGCTCGCTATGACAAAGAAGAGCTCGAGCTTCTTAGCTGTAATACGTGCTTACCACCTAAGCAACTTATTATGCTTCACTAAAAAGCATTTGCCTCAAGTCCGTTATCTAGAATAGCATTTTAGAAAAAGGCAACCCAAGACTTTGATATCTTTTTTAAAGGTGTTTTTATTATTTCTTGCATTTTCACGCTCACATTAATAAATCCAAAAAATTATATTTATTATATCATAACTTTTCGTCAATGTTTTTTAACCCACTCAAATATACGCAATCAAACACTTGGTAGACACCTAGTAATATAGTATATATAAATATATTATTATAATATAAGATCTTGCACATCATAACAGCACTTATGTCACATGAACCTTTCGTCACTTTAAGTATTTAGCTCTCACCTTTTCATGCTTCCCGCTCGCTTCACTACACATTTTTGGCCAAATAAATGCTGCACTACACTACTTAAGCTTCACAGAGTTCAAAATAATATCTAAACATTTCACTAATTCTGTTGAAGCTCTGCTTAGTGAGCTGAATTCGCGCAGGCAACCGTCAAACTGTCGAAAAGTTAGTTAACTAAAAGATACTTCGAATTAAAAATTTCACCTGAGCTTAAAATCATACTTGGAGAGCGTGTAAATATATAACCATGCGAAAACAGTTAGAGAAGAAGTAAAGAGAAATGAAAGAAAGTGATACAACGCGCCTAAAGTGGACGACGAAACCCGCAAAGAGAGAAGCCGCTCAAACGACGAACAAAGCGGAGTTGTAAGCTGCTAAGTTGAGTAGTAACTAACTACGAATGTGATCACACATGCGAGTATGTAGTAGCATACGTAAGTTTGGACTTTGATTTCGCTGCTTAGATACATACATATTTATATTGTCTTGAGTTAGAGCGGGTTTTAATGGTAACTAAAATGATAAAAACGAATCTGGACAACGTTGGTTCAACTGTTAAACAATGCTTAGTGGTTCAACAAGAGTACCTGTGCAAAATGCGTGAGGCATCCCAGTAGTAATTTTTTCTTGTTTTTTGTCTGGTAT